CTTTATCTTATTGAGGGTGGGCTGGATAAAAATGGGGTGTTGGGGAAGGGGTCCAGCACATGGTGGTTTGTTCTCCCAATGGAATAATTTTATGGGAATTATCAGATTGTTTCTCATCTGGAAAAGGTTAAGAATCACAGGTATTTAAAAATGTTAGCTAAGACACAAAAATTGTGAGAGAAGAGGGAGAAAACTTGTATCAACCATGGGCCAGGCTCTGTGATAATTTTTTTCCACATTTATTTTATATAATTATGACAACTATTTAATATTTAGTGAGTGCCAGAGGCTAGATTTGAACTCACATCCAATGATCTACCAATGTGAAAGTAAAAAACCTTTGGTGATGTGGGTGAAAGTGCTGGTTCAGTTTGATGGAAACAGCTCTGGGGAAATCTTTATAGATTAAGATATATCATTCTTTGCAGCTTCAAAGAATCTCAACTAGGACAAAGAGTGACTATTGTTCAGGAACAGAGCATATTTCTCATTACTGGGTATAGAAATACATGAGGTCTTGCATTTTTACTTGCAAGAAATAAAAAAAGGAAAGTTAAAAATTAATCCTGGCCTTAGTGGAGGTTACATGGGTATTTTCAATTTTTGGTAACTCTTTGAGCTATATATTTATGATTTTTGTATTTTTCTATATATGTGTTATACTTCAATTTTCCAAACATTTATTTTTAAAAAGACCAAAAAAAGTTATTGTAGGGAAAGTAGGGGATGTTCCAAGTCTCTGTAAGCTAAGCTATTTACACAGCCACATCCTGATTCTTTCTTCTTTATCTGTGAAAAATAAAGATAATAGAATACGTTGCACCTTCTTCCAAGAGATAAGCTTCTGTATTTTTGCTTGGTCAGTACATGGTTGAGCTTCTAATTTAGGACTTTTTGCCTCACACCTCCATGATAAGAAATTAAAGAAAATGTTTCTTCCTTTCCCACATTTAAAAAAAAATTTCCTGTGACACCACAGAGTCTGCCAGTAACTCTCTCACAAGTCTACCTTTATTTGCGTAATCTTAGAATGATTTACAGAAAACAAATACCTTGTCTTCCCTCAAGTTTGGCTGGGACAAGTGAATCCATAAATGTTTTGGGACAGTAAGAAAGGATTTGTAGATTTTTTTATGACAATTAGCATTGACAAAGAAATTATTTTATTTCTTTTCATAGAAGAGAATAATATTCTTATGTGGATATAATATTCATGCAGAATTTAAGCCCTCATTTGTTTGGCTATCTCAAAAACAAGGTATAATTGGTGAGATGGGAAATGGTGAAGGCATATATGTATGATCATGCTCATTACAGCAAAAATGTATTAAAGGATGTCCCCAATACCAACAGTAGACCTCATAAAGCACTCAAATCATTGAGTTTAATATGAAATAAATGTTTAACTTCTTTTAAAAATTTTAATTTGTTGAAAATATGGAGGTGAGAAAGAGCTTAAGTAGTAGTGCAGTCACAGTCCCTAAATTCACCTTTGGAAGTATAGACTTACCCCTAAGTAAGCTGAATTATTTTTCTGTATTACTATGGCCTGTAGTCTAATTTTATTAGCTTATTTCAATTATATTCTTTTTTTCAACATGTTGTTTTCAAAAATTTCAAATCTAGAGGAAAGTTAAAAAATAGCAAAATGAACACTCAATACCTCTGACCTAGAGCCACCAACTATTGCCATATTTACACACACTTCCTCCCTCTCATATACATATCTTTGTGTGCATGTGTTTGCTGAGCCAGTTGAAATCAACTTGCTGATATCACCTCTAAGTACTTTAGCCTGTATCTCCTTGAAACAAAATCATCTTCCTACATAACAACAATAGAATCATTGCCTTCAAGAAATTTATCATTGATAAATAATACCATCTAATATACAGTTCATAATCAAGTTTCCCCAATTTGAATGGTCATAATTGTTATAATAATTTCCTTAATCACTACTATTGACACAGGATCCAATAAAAGTTTACACAATGCATTTAGGAGTCATATATCTTTTATTTAGAACATTCTTCCCCTGATCCTTTTTTTCCCTTTTGTCTTTCATGACATGGACCTATCTTGAAGAGTCCAAGTCTGTTGTCTTGCAGCATGGCCTATAATCTAGATTTATCTTATGGTTTTCTCATGATAGTTCAACATGTTTATGGAAGAAACCCCTACTTATCCATATACAGTTGGTTTTCCATATACATTCCCATATTTTCCCATTTCTAAGACTTTGCTCTCACAGAATGTTTCTTTCACGTATGCCCTCACGTGTCTCTACAAGGCCTGGTTCAATACTTAACCTTCTCCAGGAAGGTTTCTCTGACGCCTTTCATTCTGAAGGAGTCTATGAATATCCAGAATACATTAGCCTTTCTTTTCTTGCAGCATGTGTAATTTTTTGGCTTTGTATTTATTTTTATTAGGTCACATGTCTTTTACCTTCTCCCCAATGAAAGCCAACTAAAGGCAAGCCTAGTTTATCTTTGTGACCTCCCTGCCATCTAGCACAGACTAGGCAATCAATATGTTTATTTCCTAAATGGTTAGATGAATAAATCAATGAACAAATGAAAATGGTGTCTTTGGCCTCTGAGACATAGTGAGTTGGTTAAGAACTTAATTCTTTAAAAAGGGTTACAGAATTTCTTCATATGTGTGCTTTCTGCATCTAATATAGTCTACTTATTTTGTATAAAAACTCTAAATAAATTTTTAGTTTTAATAAAAAACATGTATATCACATTGTATAGCTCTTTTAAAAATCATGTTGGTAAGCATTGAGGGAAGTCTTTCAATCTGGCAAGTTCATTCTTTAGCTTTGGAAAGTGGTCCTGTATTATTTCTTTATAATTTCCTCTTGTGCATATTTTTTTTTCTCTCTGGAATAAGTCCTACAAATCAGACTTCTGAGTTAAGACTTCTGAGTTCATCCACTATATTTCTTATCTTTTCTTCCATATTTTCTATCTTCAACTTTCTGAAAGACTCCTTCAACATGTCTTCCAGCCTACAGGTATTACTGTTCTTTAAAATTTTTTGAAATTTGTGTTTTTTATTTTTAGGAGTTTTATTTTTATTCTCTGAGTGGTCTGTTTAATACCATCCATTTTTTGTCTTATGGATGTAATGTCTTCTCAAGTCTGTACAAAAATAGTAATTAGAATTTAATGAAAATGTTCTTCTATTCCCTTCATTAGCTCTGTTTAAGCTTTCTTAAAAGTTCTTATTTTTATCTTGATCTCTCTCTTATTCATATTGAAGGCATGCTATGCATTAAGTATAGAAACTTCTGTGCACTGCAAAGCTGATTGGGAATTCTATGTATGTGAGCAAGTTTGCCAACTGCCAGGTTGGCTATAGGTTAATTACATGTTGACTTAGGCATTATGGTCAGAAACTCCCAACTGTCAAAAATGGAGGTCTTTTTTCTGAGATCTTTCAATTTCTTTAATAAAAACTCTTCAGTATTTTGCCTGGGAATAAATATCTAGTTGGTGAAGACAGCCAGCAGAGGTGTGTGTGTGTGTGTGTGTGTGTGTGTGTGTGAGAGAGAGAGAGAGACAGAGAGTGTGTGTGTGTGTGTGTGTGTGTGTTCTGTTTATTTTGGCCTCCTGTTAACCTTCTTCTGTTTTTAGTCCTTTATTTCATCCCTTCTCTCTGCCATACCTGTCACCTCGTCTATCTCCTGTGCATCAGCACTCCAAGGCTTGGCTTTATCCTGCTATATCAGTTACCACTCATTTTTCCATCTAGTTTCCATTTTCCAGAATTTTGTTAAAATATCTCACCCTCTGATGAATTATCTTGTTGTTTTGTTATGGATTTACATGGTATTTTTTGTTTGTTTGTTTGTTTGTTTGTTTTGAGACAGAGTCTCACTGTCACCAGGCTGGAGCATAGTGGTGCGATCTGGGCTCACTGCAACCTCCAACTCCCTGGTTCAAGCGATTCTCCTGTCTCAGCCTCCTGAGTAGCTGGGATTATAGGCATGGGCCACCACGCCCAGCTAATTTTTTTGTATTTTTAGTAGAGACGGAGTTTCACCATGTTGGTCTTGATCTCCTGGCCTCGTGATCCACCCACCTCGGCCTCCCAAAGTGCTGGGATTACAGGCATGAGCCACCATGCCCAACCTATATGTTCTTTTAATGCCTTTATCATTATTCTGTGGTATCGTGGGAAGAAGAGGAAATAAATACATGTATTTATTTGCCATCTTTAATTGGACTACTTAATGTAAAAGTGTTTGTGTTATAAATTCCCCCTCATATATTTGGTTTTGTGACTGCAGTCATGTAAATTCTCTGCCTAGAAGTTTAAAGAAAGTGATTCTGTATGTGATTAGTGAGTAAGGTTCAGATAACCTTGGGTGGTTTAAGGTTTCCTAGTGAGTAATCTGGACAAGGGAGATTTAAGATACTGCAGACAGAGTGTGAGAATAACTCTCTCTTCACGACTTAAGAAGCCTGGTTCCTTATTTACAATTGGGATAAGATAAATGGTTGAATACCTAGAGAAGTTCTACAAAAAGTTACACAAAAAGTTTAGTTAAATTTAAGTTAAAAGTTAGTTAAAATGAAAAGTTAAGTTTTTGTTCTGCTGCTAAACCATGCTCCTCTGCATGTTGAACCTTCAGTTTCCTCTAGATTTCTAGTCCCTGAAAGAAAACAAAACTGCAGCCAGGTAGGCCTCTCCTAATCTTACTCATTTACGGAGAATTTCCCCTTTGAGTCACCATGGCATTGGCTGGTTACTCACACCACAGATACCTCAGGATTGGCTGGGACTGCAAATAAAATACTGTTTGCCCGTAATCAAGTTGATAAGCTACAACATAAACACATCTAGGTTCTTGTTCTTAGAATACAGCATGAAGCATTTGCTTTCTTCTTTCTTCCTAACATTTTCATGCGAGATCCAGAAAGGACACATTGTCTCTGGCCATTCGAAGAAACAAAGAAAGAAAGAAAGAAAAGGTATTTAAAGAGAGAGAGAGAGAGAGAGAGAGAGAGAGAGAGAGAGAGAAAGAGAAAAGCTAAAATGGGTTTGCTGGGTTCTAAAAATCCCCAAACCAAACAAGCCCAAATTCTTCTTTTGGGACTTGACTCAGCTGGGAAGTCTACTCTCCTTTATAAATTAAAGCTTGCTAAGGATATTATCACCATCCCTACAATAGGTTTCAATGTGGAGATGATCGAGTTGGAAAGGAGCCTTTCGCTCACAGTCTGGGATGTTGGAGGACAGGAGAAAATGAGAACTGTTTGGGGCTGTTACTGTGAGAACACTGATGGGTTGGTGTATGTTGTGGACAGCACAGACAAACAGCGACTGGAAGAGTCTCGGAGACAGTTTGAGCACATTTTGAAGAATGAACACATTAAAAATGTGCCTGTTGTTCTATTAGCCAACAAACAAGACATGCCTGGAGCTCTGACTGCTGAGGACATCACCAGAATGTTCAAAGTGAAGAAGCTTTGCAGTGACCGGAACTGGTATGTGCAACCCTGCTGTGCCCTCACAGGTGACGGGCTGGCCCAGGGGTTCAGGAAATTAACTGGATTTGTGAAGAGCCACATGAAATCAAGAGGAGACACTTTGGCATTCTTCAAGCAGAACTGAGACTGAAAAATCCAAGTCTCAACAGAGACACTGATGAAGTTGAAAGGGTAATTGTTTTTCTATGCCAAATGAAGAAATCAAATTATTGAGATGACAAACTTTTCCTGAGATGTTATTTCATTTACATTTAGTTAAACAACTTAGAATGATATCTAGAAAATATTTATTTTTCAGCCAGAAACTTTAGCAAACTATGGCAATGCTCACTGGGAATGAAAATGTATAATGTTCTACAAATTTTTATCACATTGGATGACTTTGAATATAGTAGTCACATTTGGGACCAAATAAATTACTACATTATTAATTGTATATGACTACTAGAACAAAGTTTTAGTAAGCTATCTGCTAATAGAGTCAGAATTCTTCCAGATTGTTTCCAGCTGTAACAGGTATTGAATTTCCACCATGCTCCTATGTAATAGCTGGGTGGTGTAAAAAACGAACTTCAAATTGTGGAGTGGAAAAAGTATAATGTTAACATCTTGTAAATTCATGTTCCCTAAATAAAGCTTTCTTATTTCCTAAATAAAGCTTTTCTTCTGGATTCCTGCCAGCTTTTTTGAAATCTATTGCTGGGAACTTCCTCCAGTGAATCTTAAACAATGAACTTCAGGCTGCTAATTACTCAGAGGCTGTGTTCTGCCATAGGGAGCAGAGTGTATAAACTTAAAGGTCTGGTGATCGGGGTAGCACCTTGGAGTTCTCAGGGCTCAGCTCTAGGCTACAGCCCCGAGTCTCGCTTCCTTGGAATTCAGTTTAACAGCCATTGCTTGGAAACATACGTGCAGCTCATTGTACTGATCAAACAGGAACCAGACCTAGACTTTGCTCTCAGAGACCTACAATTTACAGCAGGAAACAACATAAAGCTAGCATCTAGAGTAGGGCAATAAGTGCTATGTGCGATTGCGGGAGATACTCTTTTTAACCAGGGAAACAAGAAATGCTTACTGCAGGAGATGGTATTTTAGAGGGTCCCTCACTCCCATTGACCCTACAAAGGTACAGGTTAGTCACTGGAAGTTCCCATCTCTAGGAAACTTTCCAGAGGCATTGGGCGGGAGGGCAGGTGAGTGGGCAAAGGAGCTGGAGATTGGAATGGAAGTCCCCTGAGAAGCTCAGAACTCCCAGGGAGGCCCTGGTACAAACAGACAGCACTTTCCTCCTACCCCACTTCCAACAAGGCTCATTTGGGGCTGGAAGCAGAGCTCAATCATCCATAGCAGACCCTAGGACTCCAAATCTTAAGGTCACAGAGGAAAAAAAAAAAAAGGGGTAAAATAAACCAAGGATGCCAGCCCTTGGATTCCTCTTAACGATTTTCTTCTCTCGTCTTAGCTATTTGTTCAGGAAAGATCCGAGCACTACCTTCTGTGCTATGTGGTAGAGATTCAAATAATAAACTAGACACACAGGTAATAATAGTTACTGTGGGATGAGTACTTGTGGGTGCCAGGCACTGTGTGCTAAGCACTTTCATACATCTTCCCATTTAATGTTCACAACTGCCCAAAGAGAAACAGGCATAATCTAAATTTTAAAGATGAGTGTACTGAGTCTAAACAAGATTACACAACAACCACCACAAAAAAACTACTTGATATTTAACTGAGGAGTAGCAACAGAGCCAAGATTCAAATTCAGGTGTGTCTCACTCCAGGGTCTGTGCTGTTAGGTGTTCTGACATTGTTTTACTAATAAGGTATAGTCTCTGTCTTCAGTGAACTTACCACATGCAATTAAGAATAAATCAGGCCAACATACATTACTTCTATAATAAAAATGTTCTTAGAAAAAATTTACTAGGCAGAATAAATTAAGTTCAATAACAGAGATATAAAAAACATGAAAGACTGGCAAAAAGTTTCCTGATTTCAGGGAGATCTCAGGGGGGTGGCAATGTTAAATGCTTCGTAGTAGAACTTTTCTTTTTTGGAACATAATTAAAATCTCAAATATGTATCTTCCCTTACAATTTCTCTGTGTGTGTTTTTATGGAATCTTATTAGTAACCTTAAATTGGAAGTCACTAACTTACTTCTACAAAAAATGCCCTCTGGTGCTCGTGTATCTTGGTAATCTGAATTAAGTCAAGCCCTTTATGGCCCAGTCTTGGCATGATGTAAAAGTTGAAGAAAATAGCCTGTTAAAATACTGAAAGGAACCCAAATCTTCACTTTAGAAAGCCCCTGGGTGTATGTGTTGGGTGTGGTGGGCAAATGCATTCTTCATGTAGAGCAAAACTTATAAAGCAGAATTTTCCTGTCATTTCAACATCTCCCCCCATATAGCAGCTATTCCTTAAAATCTCTGTTAATATTCTTCCCAAAACGTGTACCCTTCTCATGCTTTCCTCCTTTCTTCCCTGGGATCCAGGGATTCAGTCTATTTTCCTCCATCAGTCACTTGCTTTCTTTTTTTTTTTTTTTTTTTTGAGACGAGGTCTCACTCCATCACCCAAGCTGGAGTGCAGTGGCGCGAGCTCAGCTCACTGCAACATCCACCTCCCAGGTTCAAGCGATTCTCCTGCCTCAGCCTCCCGAGTAGCTAGGACTACAGGTGCACACCACCATGTCAGGCTAATTTTTGTATTTTTCAGTAGAGACAGAGTTTCACTATGTTGGCCTAGCCAGGCTGGTCTCGAAGCTTTCTTTTTGAGTTAATTTTATCAGTCTTTATTTGGCAATTCCCTCCTGCTCTCTGCAGTATGATCTTGTCTGCCCTCCAACACACACACATGCACATGCATGCACATACATACACCTGTGCACTCTTCACCCTGGTCTACTAATAAAGCCCGAGACTGAGGGATGGGAAAAAACTAGGTGGACAGTAGCAAAATATTTCTTGACAGACAAGAGAAAGAGGCTTGATATTTATTATTGTCATACATTTTATTTCATTTTTATTTTGTGCATTCCTTCCAGGTGTTTATCTTTATATTTTTATTTTATTTTGTGTATTCTTTAAAATGAATTTTATCGTGTATATTTGAGGTTTATGTTATGATGTTTTAGGACACATATAGATACTAAAATGATTACTATAGTAAAGCAAATTAATGTACCTATCATCTCACATTGTGACTTTCTTGTATGTGACAAGAGTGACTAAAATCTACTTATTAATATTTAACAAAAATCCTAACTGCCAAGTAATCTTACTCTATCATTTATCTGTAACAAGGTAAAACTTAACTTATCAAAATAGCATGCTGCCATGGATTTAATAGCAACAAAAGCATAACACTTCTGAAATATTCCTTGCCTAAAGAGTTAAAGAATAAATCTTAAGTCTTTGAGATAAAGGTAAATATCAGTTACATTTTCTGAAAAGTGAATATCAGATAAATATTTCTATCTGATTTTCTAAGCATTGTAAATGACAAAAATCTCGACAGGACATAAAAATGAATAATGGCGAATAAATAAAACACCCACAGTAACTGGTGTGTGTGTGTGTGTGTGTGTGTGTGTGTATATATATATATATATTTTTTTTTTTTTAAGGCAGAGTCTCACTCTGTCTCACCCTGTCTCACCTAGGCTGGAGTGCAGTGGTGCGATCTTGGCTCACTGCAGCCTCCACCTGCTGGGTTCAAGCGATTCTCCTGTCTTCGCCTCCTGAGTAGCTAGGACTACAGGCATATGCCACCACACCTGGGTAATTTTGTATTTTTGGTAGAGACGGGGTTTTCACCATGTCAGCCAGGTTGGTCTCAAACTCCTGACCTCAGGTAATCTGACCTCCTCGGCCTCCCAAAGTACTGAAATTACAGGCATGAGCCGCTGTGCCCAGCCCGAACATGACTATGTTTTGATAATGAACAAACTGGGTTTTACCAGACTAAGGAAGACCAGGTATGGAAGGAGCCCTGCAGTTCTAGCTCCTGGTAGGTGGTACTGAGAGGCAGTCTTGGAGGCCGAGTGAATTCCTGCAGTGTGTTGACTATGCAGAGGAATTAACCTAAAAAGAGTGACCCTCCGCTGTGTTCTGCTTTGCAAACCTCGAGTTGGCCGACTCTCGCTTGCATGGGCTCTCTCACCACAGAGATAGAGACAGAGACACAGAGGGACAGCCAGAAATAGAGAGACCTCCTTTGGCAGTGCCAATGAGTATTTTAACGTAATAACATAATTTAATAATGTCACAGGGGTTCCAGTCCACCAGATTTTTAGCACAGTGTTGAATTACTTTAAGCATAAGATACCACACTTTACCTTGAAAGTACCACATAAATAAAAAAGATGGTTATTAGATGACTTAACCATATAAGTAGTATTTTCACAAATATTATCTCATTTCGTTCTCACAAAATCTTATGAGGGAGGCATAGCAAATATCAACTCCATTTTAAGGATACGAGGAAACTAAGCAGTTACCAAAAAAAAAAAAAAAAAAAACCAAAAAAACAAAACCCCCACACACACATAGGCTGGGCGCAGTGACTTACGTCTGTAATCCCAGCACTTTGGGAGGCCGAGGCGGGCGGATCACGAGGTCAAGAGATCAAGACCATCCTGGCCAACATGGTGAAACCCCATCTTTACTAAAAATACAAAAAATTAGCTGGGCGAGGTGGCACCTGCCTGTAGTCCCAGCTACTCGGGAGGCTGAGGCAGGAGAATCACTTGAACCTGGGAGGCAGAGGTTGCAGTGAGCCGAGATTGCGCCACTGAACTCCAGCCTGGGTGACAGGGAGAGACTCTGTTTCGGAAAAAAAAAAAAAAAAGAAAAGAAAAGAAAAGAAAAAGAAAGTACACGAGTAAATTAGAGGTAGGGAATGGCAGGGAGTGTAAGGCTCATTTACATAAGGATTCAGAAAACACCCCTCTACACTTTTGGTTGGAGACCTACAACACTGAAGACCTGAGGAAGGTGTATTCTAAGTTGGAGAACAGCAAGTTTAAGAGCTGTGAGGCAGTAACAAGCTGGGAGTGACAGAAGGGCATTGAAGCCAGTATGGCCAGATAGGGAGACAGGTGGGAGAAATAGAAAGTGGGCATCAGCTAGGGAAAGAAGTGAATGGAGAGGTTTAAAGCAGGTGAATGATGTAATCAGATGTTCACTGTTAGAAGACCTTCTTGGCAGAATTCTGTGTGGAGAATGCAGCCATCCAGGCGAGAATTGGTGGTGGCCTCATGGTAGTGGGATTGAGACGTGGTCAGAAGGGAGAGGTATTTTGAAGGGTGAACTGACAGGATTCGCTGGTGGATGTAGGATCCAAGGAGGAAAGGAAGATATCTTTTAGGTTTTTGGCCCAAGAAACACTGTATCCTGTAGACCCATTTAGTTTCTAGAAACAAAGAGATTTAATGGTAAAACCTATATGTGCCACATTATAGCTAAATTCATTGTATCATATTTATGTGTGTGTGTTTGAGATGGAGTCTCAGAGTCTCGCTCTGTCACCAGTGTCTCCCGCTACACACACACACACACACACACACACACACACACACACAGTTGCAATCATCCTGACACTTTACACGTAAGTACTTTATTGTGTATCTCCTTAGAATCACCCTTCTCCAATGTAAGCATATTTGGGCTTCTTTTCTCTTCCTGTTTCTCTGTCTTTCTACCCGCCCCCCTCACCACCACTTTCTGCTACACATGTACCCACACGCGC